AAACCTAACAGCTGACAGCATAAAATCTTTATAGCATGTTTTAAAAGCAGTCAGTGGATTATTTTGCTACCAATCTGTTCAGAGACACCCATGATACTGTAGGTTGCTAGCCAAAGTTCAAGCAGCACTGTCTTGAGTTCCCAAAGTTTCCTGATGCATTGGTCAAAACCAGAGAACTGTTAAAACCCAGCTTTTTTCACAAGTACAATGGTTGCTTCATTAACATCAAAGTTCTAACCCAGACATGGCTGCACCAGTGGCTGATGAAGCAGTTATACATGCACAGTTTATAATCTCAAAGCACTTCTAGATTTGTAAAAAGGTGCTAAAACACTAAATAAATAAATAAATAGACATGCAGTGTTTATGATTCTGTGAGGAGATAAGCCCTCTCTATGGACTACTCATACGTCAGCAACACTGAATTACCCGTTTCAGACAAAAGTGGCCCAATCCAGCCAGTATTGACCAAATTAGGTGGGCAAGTACGAGCTTTTTGAACCCCATGCTTGAAGTACAAAGCTAAGAGTATCACAAACATGTAATAACTCTCATGCGTCATCACAGTGGAGTTCCTTACTTGGCATCCAGCTGCAAGGGCTGCCTGCATGCTTTGAGGAACTAAGTGGTAAACAACAAACAAGCATATCCATCTGCTTTTCCACATGTTCTTCATAAGGTTTTATGGTCTAATTTGTTAGTCCAGCTATTTGGACTCAGACACTTGCTCTCCAAGTCTATTCTATTGATTTTAGCCCAAAAGAGAACCAGTCACGATTACGACTCTCAATTGCCTTCATGAGAAAACCTAAAATTATTCCAGTCTCAGACAGCAGCGCAGCAGTGAGGTTCCAAATAACTCTTCTTATGATAGCAAATTTGAAAAAGTAGGGAAACACCAACAAAATTGTTTCACCTTCCCAGCAGAACTAACTTCTGCCAACCTGGCCTGTTCCTCCAACAGTCCATTAAACGATAGCATTAGTTCAAATTCCAGTTTAACTAGAGGATACTTAGTACAGGACACATTCTCTAGTCTTCTTGTCTTTTTAACAACAGCTTCCTCACTTCACATATCCCAAAAGTACTAGGAGCCAGAAATGCTGCACTGCTCATGTCCAGGAACAATTGTGGCACAAGGCAGGATCGACACTGCACAGCTAAATGCCTCAAGCAGAGCAGTTACTTGCACTTTCAGGTATGGGGAGAGAAAGTTAACTGCAGTTTAAATGTAAATGTAAGCAACAACTACTAATTTATTTACAAAAGCATCAGGCTGTGAAAGAGGATAGATTTAGACTACACAGTAGGAAGAAATTTTTCACTGTGAGGGTGGTGAGGCACTGGAACAGGTTGCCCAGGGAAGCTGTGGATGCCCCATCCCTGGAGGTGTTCAAGGCCAGGCTGGATGAGGCTTTGACCAACCTGGTCTAGTGGGAGGTGTCCCTGCCCCAGGCAGGGGGGTTGGAACTCAATGATCTTTAAGGTCCTTTCCAACCCAAACCATTCTATGATTCTTCGTGAGTCTTCCCAGTTCACCTTCCACTGCACAGTAATATCCAAATCAGACTCATCCCCAAAGGTTTGTCAAGCACAGATTATATGGTCTTCCGCATGCACCATGGGTCTGACTGTGTCTTGTACACACCAGTGTAACGTACAAGGCAGCATCACCCAGTCACAGGCTCAGTTCAGGTTTTCCAGTTGCAGTGCCACCAGAATTATAAGCTATCACAGCAGTAGGTATGAAGGCACTTCTTAAAAAGGTTTTAAAAGCCCATTTGTGTGAATTGTCTGGATTCTATGAACTGGGCATCTGCATCCTCCAACCCTAGCTGACGACTTTATTAAGTAGTTGCACCTGGAAGTTCACAGTACAGACTTTACAGCGAACACTAAGGCTGTAACATTTGCCTGGCCAGCAGGAAGCCAGGCCTCACTGAGGAACTAGAGGCTTTGAACACCCAAGTGCCACCAGTTACTGATTCCTGGAGATCCATAGATAGATCTGGGACCACAGCATGGACACACAGGTCCTTAAAGTCAGGGTCTTTTCCCACAATGTTTGCTCAGAAGCAGACAAAGCAGTGTAGTCAGGCACTGCCCCATTCCCACCCTATGTATACCCTCAGATCTAGATGCTTAAGGTCAATAGTTGGTGGAAGGGAAGGAAGAAGGAGCAGCTCAGTGAGGCGAGTGCCATGTAAGAAGAATGGCCTCATACCTCACTGTGGACTTTCCTCCTAGAACCCTGTTTCCTCTGTGCAAAAACTATTTCTTTAAATACAAACTATAAAAAAATGAGCACGAGAAAGTGCAGGAAATCCTTATACAGGTCAATACTGCCTACATAAAACAAGTGTTTTTCTAAACAAATAAAAACATCTATTGGCCAAGATATGTATTAAGATCATCCACATTTGTGACTGGGATGCCTGCTATCATAACCAGAGAACAGTTACCATTCTCTGCCTTATAACTTGACATGGTGCATGCCTTCTTCTAAAGACCTCCTTGCCCAGATTGTTCCATCCTAAAAAAACATTTCTAATTTAAAAAGAAACATGCTTGGTTTCTCATAGAACAACACATATGGCACCAGAAGGCAACTCCTGCAAGCCCCTATACTTTAGGGAAAAGCGTTCACCAAAGGAGGAGCAATAGCCTGGACTGTCTCAGCTGCACCTCACAGCTCTAGCACTGGGTCAAGAGTGTCAGAATAGCTGCTATGAGTTAGGTGCAACAACTGTTAGTCATCATTGCACAGCCCATAAGCTCTTATCTTGGAGATGGGACAGATAAATGCTTCTAGATTGCAAATGCATTAACAAAGGCCTTTTTCTGCTGCAGAAGGATCTCTGTGGCTGGCCTCCAAATGCAGGCAGAGATATACTGATGGGCCCTCATGCTAGCAGAGCTCTTGGCGAGATCAGAACCTCCCAGCAGAAGCAAAAGGAAAGAAAAAACCCTGCCTCCCTCTCCAGAACTATTTGTTGCTTTTCTAACTCAATGTCAAAGCTAAGCTTCAACTGCTTTGTTTCCCCTAAGCACAAACAAGGAGAAGATCATCAAAAGAGTCACCTCTGGACAGACTCCTCTTTC